AGCCAGCCAAACACCAACAAGGAACAGACAAAGCAAGACTGCATAACAGTTGGCTGGGCCATGGTAGCTCAGAGCCTGTAATTCAGCAACACTTTGGGAGGACTCTCGAGGGCCAGGGCGAACACCTGAGGTCAGGAGGTTCGAGACCAGCCGTGAGCCGAACATGGCAAAAACCCCATCGTCTACTAAAAATGCAGAAAAATTTCTTGGGCATGGGTGGCGCCCACCTGTAATCCCAGTTACCCCGTGAGGCTGTGAGGGGGCAGGAGAATTGCTTGAAACCTTGGGAGCGGAGGCTGGAAGTGAGCCAAGAAGATCGCACCCACTGCCACCTCCGAGCCTGGGCGAACAGGTTGACGACACCGGCTTCAATCAAAAAAAAAAAAAAAAAAAATCAAAGTCTGGGCCACCGTGGGCTCACGGCCTGTTAATCCCAGCCACTTCTGGAGGGCTTGAAAGGTGGGTGCGGATAAACGAGGTCAGGATGCAAAGACTAGCAAAATGGCCACATAGTGAAAACCTATCTCTACTAAGCGAATAACAAAGAATTCAGCCAGGCATGGTGGCGCGTGACCTGTTAATACCATCTACTCCGGGAGGCTGAGGCAAGAGAAATCGCTTGAAACCTAAGGAGGTGGAGGTTGTGGTGAGCCGAGAATTGAATCCAATGCCACGCACTCCAGCCTGGAAGCGACAGAGCGAGACTCCTCTTCAAAAAAAAAAAAAAACACAAAGGCAAACGTTTGATCCAACGGCCTACCAAGATCGAAAATACAAGAACATTCCTGTGAGTGAAACTGATTCCCCCAAAGATCAAATAATCCGAAACATCTCCATCAGGCAACGACCGATGGAAACAGCAATCTGGAAAACACACGCTGCGTGTGTAAAATCTAAAACTTCTAAATTAGCACGTTTTGAAAGGGTAGACTACAGGTGGAAAGCAATTGAAAGTATGTTCCCATAGAACCCAGCGCGTAAGACAGAAAATTATTTCAACATGGAAATGAGTATGAAAATGTTATTAATGAAAGCTACCTATTACATTCTTCTTTTTTAATTCAGGTCCTCCTGAAAGCCCAAACTGTGTATTTTTTTTTTTTTTTCCTTTTGAAGAAGGAGTCTCGCTAATGTCGCCAGAGCTGGAGTGCAGTTGGCCGCGATCTCAGCTCATTGCGCAAGCTCCCACTCCCGGGTTCAATGCCACATTCTCCCCCGGCCTCAGCCTCCACGAAGTTAGCTGGGACTACAGTCGCCCCACCACCACGCCCGGCCTAATTTTTTGATTTTTAGTAGAGACGGGGTTTTCACCGTGTTAACCAGGATAGTCTCGATCCCCTGACTCGTGATTCCTCACACTCGGCCTCCCAAAGTGCTGGGATTACAGGCGTGAGGCAACCCCGCGCTTTTTAGTAGAGACGGGGTTTCACCGTGTTAACCAGGATAGTCTCGATCTCCTGACCTCGTGATCCTCCCACCTCGGCCTCCCAAAGTGCTGGGATTACAGGCGTGAGGCACCGCGCCCGGCAGCCTGTGTGTATTTTACACTCATGTACATTCCAGTTCCTCCTGGCCACGTTTCGAGCACAGCACACGTGGTTCTTGGCTATGGGACAGTGTGGGAACACATCGACCCACCAGCTCACAGGGAGCACAGACGCACGCAGCCAGCGACATCTCCTGGTCATCTCTACAGTCTGGATAGAGCCATTTGGACCTCCTGGGAAAAATGACCAGGATTCCTCAACAAATAAAGTGTTAAGGAAAAGGAGGCTGAGGCAGGAGGATTGCTTCAGCCCAGGAATTCAAGGCCACAATGAGCTATCATTGCACCACTGCACTCTAGCCTGGGTGAGAGAGCAAGACTCCGTCTCAAAAAAAAAAAAAAGCATATTCTAAGACTGGGTTTAGTGGCTCATACCTATGATCCCAGCACACTTTGGGAGACTGAGACAGGCATATCACTTGAACTCAAAAGTTCGAGACGAATCTGGGCAACATAGCCAGACCGCCCCCATTGCTACTGAAAAAAAAAAAAAATGGCCAGGTGCAGTGGCTCACACCTGCAATCCCAGCACTTTGGGAGGTCGAGGCAGGTAGATGACCTAAGGTCAGGAGTTCAAGACCAGCCTGGCCAACATGGTGAAACCCCTTCTCTACTCAAAATACAAAAAAAAATGAGCCAGGTACAGTGGTGCATGTCTGTAATCCCAGCTACTCAGGAGGCTAAGACAGGAGAATCGCTTGATCCTGGGAGGCGTAAGTTACAGTGAGCCGAGATCGCACCACTGCACTCCACCACGGGTGATACAGCGAGACTTTGTCTCACCCAAAAAAAAAATAGCCAGGCATGGTGGTGCACACCTATGGTCCCAGCTACTTGGGAGGCTGAGGTGGGAGGATTGCTTGAGCCCAGGAGGTTGGGGCTACAGTGAACTGAAAGTTTGCCACTGCACTCCAGCCTGGGCAACAGAGCAAGACCTTATCTCAAAAAAAAAAAAAAAAAACTGACCAAAACAAAACTGTCTCATGCCAGGTGCGGTGGCTCACGCCTATAGGCCCAGCACTTTGAGAGGCCGAGGCGGGTGGATCACCTGAGATCAGGATCGCTTGAACCCGGGAGCCAGAAGTTGCAGTTAGCTGAGATCTCACCACTGCCCTCACAGAATGAGATCTTGTCTCAAAACAAACAAGCAAACCCATCTTATTCTTGCTGTACAAATAAATGAGCAGGGAGGGAAAGGTCTAAGATCCTAAAAAATAATAAAATTGGCAAAGACTGACACAAATAAAGAGAAAACACAAATTCTCAAAACCAAGAATAAAACAGGGATCTCACTAGATCCTTCAGGCATCAGAGAATAAAGAAATAATACAAATGACTTTATGCTCAGAGAAATGTGCTAATTCCCCAAAACCCAGAAAGTACTTAAGCTCAAACAGGCTGAAACAGATAGTCCAGATAGTCACATAACCATAGAAGAAATTCAATTCATAAAAGTTCCCCCAAAAGACATCTCCAGATCTCCATGGCCTCATTAAAGCTTCCCCCCCACACCTGCCCCCCGAGACGGAGTTTTGCTCTGTCATCCAGGCTGGAGTGCAATGGCACGATCATAGCTCACTGCAACCTTCACCTCCCAGGTTCAAACAATTCTCCTGCCTCAGCCTCCCAAGTAGCTGGGACTGCAGGTGCACACCACCATGCCCAGATAATGTCTGTATTTTTAGTAGAGACGGGGGTTTCACACCACGTTGGCCAGGCTGTTCTCGAACTCCTGACCTCAAGTGATCCACCCACCTCGGTCTCTCACAGTGCTGGAATTACAGGCATTGGCCACTGTGCCCAACCCATGGTCTCATTAAAGGATTCTATCAAACCTTTAAAGGCGAATTAACGTAAATTTTACACAATCGTTTCCAGAAAACAGAAAAAGGAGTAAACATTTCCCAGCTCACGTTATAAGGCCGGTATTGACCAAACCAACAAAGACCATGCAAAACAAGAAAACTGCAGACCACTGTTTCTTATTAACTTAGTCAAATAAATCCGAAACTGGCCGGGAGAAGTGGCTGACGCCTGTAATCCTAAAACTTTGAGAGGCCAAGGCGGGCGGATCATCTGAGGTCAGGAGTTCGAGATCAGCCTGGCCAACATGGAGAAACCCCACCTCTACTAAAATTACAAAAATAAACTGGGTGTGCTGGCACGCACCTGTAATCCCAGCTACTCCGTGCGCAGGCTGAGGCAGGAGAATCGTTTGAACCTGGGAGGCGGAGGTTGCAGTGAGCTGAGATCACATCACTGCACTCCAGAGCCTGGGCAACAGAGCAAGACTCTGTCTCAAAAAACAAACAAATAAATCTTAAACCGCAAAAAATCCTGGAAACAGCTCAGATATCCAATGGGTCGTTGAAAAAAAAAAAAAAGTGGCCCATCTATACCACAGAATACTACTCAGGGATGAAAAGGAATGAGCTACTGATACGCGATAACTTTAGTTAATCCGTAATTATGGAGAGTGGGGAAAAAAAGAATCAATCCCAAAAGGTTACATACTGTGTGATTCCATTTATGTAACAGGAGTCCTTATTACAAAGTTGAAATTGTAAAATCCTTGAAATTACAAAATTGTATCAACAGAGAACAAGAGAGAGCGAGACTCCATCTCAAACAAAAAGAAAAAATTAGTGCTTGCCAGGGGTCAGGGACCAGCTGGGGATGGGGAGGTGGCTATAAAAGGGGCAATGAGAAGGATTTTATGGGGAGGAAACTCACTCTTGACTATCAATGTCAATATCCCAGTTGCAGTAACACAGTATAGTTTATTAATATAAGATGTTACCATTGGGGGAAATTGAATAAAGGGTACGCGGCTTTTTTTTTTTTTTTTTTTCTGACTCTCTTGCTGTTGCCCAGGCTGGAGGGCAGAGGTGTGATCATAGCTCACTGCAGCCTCGACCTCCCAGGCTCAAGCGATCCTCCCACCTCAGTCTCCCAAAGTGCTGGGAAGACAGGCGTGAGCCACTGCGCCTAGCCATCTCTACATTATAAATGCCTGTGAATCTACACTGCAAGGTAAAATTTAATGAAAATGAACGATGATTGAATTGACCCCCACACTGAGGAGACACCAGTGCAGAGGGTTTGCATTTAGAAGTCAGCCCTGGCAAAAGCTGGTAGCTCCTAGCACTGCCCAGAGCGGGATGGGGCCCAGCCACCTATCTGAGCCTGCCAATCTCAGAGGCTGCTCAGCCGTCTCTGCCGCCGTTCCTCGCGTGTTGTCACAGAGAACCCATCTCCCTAGTCTGTCATCTGCAGATCTGTCTCCCACACCAGGCTGGGTGCCTCCTAAGACAGCGACTGCAGGTGCGTTTCTCTGTCTCATCTTGTATGATGCCTGACTCAGCAGCTGATGAAAGTCGAAGGTGCTAACGACAGGCACATATCACAAACTCACTGCGAGACACGACTCGGCTCAGCGTGACCCTCTCACTGCATCCCTCGAAGCTCCTGTGGGGCTGGCAGGGGACAATGTCTGCCCCAGAGCTGCCTGGACCAAGCACGCCCTCCCTTTCCCGCTGTGCCTCCTGCATCCCCAGAGGGCTCGGGACACCAGCGTGAATGAATCAAAGAATCCCGAACACCCCAACATGTGGTCAGCCAGGTATCTTCGTTTCCCTGCCTGGTGACACCCCTTCCTCGTGACAGTCAGTGTGCAGAAAAGCAGTTTTCTTCTGCTGGGGAAGGGACTGAGGTGGAGAAAGCTCGTGGGTGCTGGCTGTGCAGGTTATCCGGGCAGGTTATCCGTCTCTGGGTAAACGGACAGCAGCTGGTGTATAACTGGTGCGGATGGAGCCTAAGGTGGCCCCACCGCCCCCACCTCCTGGTAACCATGCATTTGTGGGCATTTCTCGCCATAAAAGTATGGGCAGGACTGTGACTTAAACCTAACCCATAAGAACACAGCAGAGCTGACGGACTGTCGCTCAATGCTGTATATCTCACTAGCCGACTAGCTGAAGACCTCCCTTGCTGGCTTGACGTCAGTAGCCACATCAGAGGGGCCCACGGGGCAGGGAACTGCAGGCGGGGGCGGGGAACTGCAGGCGGGCCCTGGGAACTGCAGGCGGCCTCCAGGAGCCAAGTTAAAAATAAATGAAGCCCCCATCCTTCAACCGCAAAGACGTGGATTTTATCAGCCACCATGAGAGCTTGGAAGGGATTGTAGGAGTCTGTTCTCGTGTTGTTAATAAAGACATACTAAATAATAAAGACTGAGTAATTTAGAAAGGAAAAAGGTTTAATGGACTCACAGTTCCACGTAGCTGGGGAGGCCTCACAATCATGGTGGAAGGTGAATGAGGAGCACAGGCACATCTTACATGGCAGGAGGCAAGAGAGTATGTGTAGGGGAACTGCCCTTTGTAAAACCAGATTGGCTGGGCGCAGTGGCTCACGACTGTAATCCAGCACTTTTGGGGGCTGAAGTGGGTGGATCACCTGAGGTCAGGAGTTCAAGACCAGCCTGGCCAACATGGTGAAACTCCGTCTCCATTAAAAATACAACAATTAGCTGCACGTGGTGGTGGGCACCAGTAATCCCAGCTACTTGGGAGGCTGAGGCAGGAGGATCCCTCAAACCCAGGAGGTGGAGGTTACAGTGAGCAGAGATCGTGCCACTGCATTCCAGCCTGGGCAACAAGAATGAGACTCCGTCTCAAAAAAGAAAAAAAGAAAAAAATGTTAGTCACCAGCATTTAAAAATCAGATTCCATATAATAATCCAGATAATTTGTTTCTCAGAAAATCTCAGGCTCAGAATTGCCCCTAGCAGAGAATAAATACCAATTCCACACCACACCCGAGTAATGCCGTGATGGCCCGGACTCAGTCCGAAGGCTCCCACAGCCCCAGCCACTCTCTTCCCTCCTCTGCAGCTCACTGACCTCCCTGCCGGGCCACAGATGCACCATAAATGTTCCAGGACCTCTGCGCTTGCTGTACCTGTACTTGGAACACCGTTGCCAAGATGCTCGTGTTTATAGACAACATGTCATGGGCTATCACTCGGCCACAAAAAGGAAGGAAACTCCAACCAGGCTACAGCCTGATGCACCTCAAGGACATCATGCTCAGTGACGTCAGTGAACAGATGCAAAAGGACAAATCCTGTGTGATCTCATTCCTAGGAGGTCTCCCGAGTCGTCAGATTCACAGAGATGGAAAGTAGGATGCAGGGATGTCAGGGGCTGGGGAGTGAGTGTTTCATGGGGTCAGAGTTTCAGTTTGGGAAAAGGACGAAGTGGTGGAGACAGCAGAATAACAACATAAATGCGTTCAATGCCACTGAACTGTGCACTTAAACATGGTCCAGGCCGGGCGTGGTGGCTCACGCCTGTAATCCCAGCACTTTGGGAGTCCGAGGCGGGCAGATCACGAGGTCAGGAGATCGAGACCATCCTGGCTAACACAGTGAAACCCCGTCTCTGCTAAAAATACAAAAAATTAGCCGGGCGTGGTGGTGGGCGCCTGTAGTCCCAGCTGCTCAGAGGCTGAGGCAGGAGAATGGCGCGAACCCAGGAGGCGGAGCTTGCAGTGAGCTGAGATGGTGCCACTGCACTCCAGCCTGGGCGACAAAGCGAGACTCTGTCTCAAAAAAAAAGAAAAAAAACATGGTTCAAATGGTAAATTTTCGACCGGGCACAGTGGCTCATGCCTATAATCCCAGCACTGTGGGAGGCAGAGGCGGGCAAATCACTTGAGGTCAGGAGTTCAAGACCAGCCTGGCCAATATGGTGAAACCCAGACTCTACTAAAAAACATATATATATAAAAATTAGCCAGGCGTGGTAGCAGGCACCTATAATCCCACATACTTGGGAGGCTGAGGCAGGAGAATCACCTGAATCTGGGAGGCAGAGGCTGCAGTGAGCCAAGATCATGCCACTATACCCCAGCTTGGGCGACAGAGGGAGACTGTGTCTTTAAAAAAAAAAAGGGCCGGGCGCAGTGGCTCAAGCCTGTAATCCCAGCACTTTGAGAGGCCGAGACGGGTGGATCACGAGGTCAGGAGATCGAGACCATCCTGGCTAACACGGTGAAACCCCGTCTCTACTAAAAAATACAAAAAACTAGCCAGGCAAGGTGGTAGGTGCCTGTAGTCCCAGCTACTCAGCAGGCTGAGGCAGGAGAATGGCGGGAACCCGGGAGGCGGAGCTTGCAGTGAGCTGAGATCCAGTCACTGCACTCAGCCTGGGCAACAGAGCAAGACTCTGTCTCAAAAAAAAAAAAAAAAAAAAAAAGTAAATTTTCTGTTACATCTATTTTATCACACACACACACACACAAAGAAGCAAGGGAGAAAGAAGAGGCTCTGCAAAGTTTTTCTGCAAAGGGTCAGACAGGAAGGATTTTCAGCTTTGTAGGCCACATAGTCTCTGTTGCAACTATGCAACTCTGACCTTATAACACAAAAGCAACCACAGGTAGTAAGATAAAAATGGGCGTGACTGTGTCCCAATAAAATTTTATTTGTCAAAGCAGGCAGAGGACCACAGCGGGCCTGTGGACTGCAGTTTGCTGACTCCTAAGCAGTGTGGTTTTGTAAATATGGTTATGAACAGAATGCCCCCAGAAAGTTGGTAACAGTGATGTCGCCAAAAAGGGGAACTGGGTGACCAGGCAGAGGAGGGGGAATCTTCATGTGTGGTCTTGGGTACTTTCTGAATTTTGACCCTGTGAATGGTACCTATTCACCAAATTTGAAACAAACAAAAGAGAAAAAGCTTGAGGCCGGGCGTAGTGGCTCACGCCTGTAATCCCAGCACTTTGGGAGGACGAGGTGGGGGGATCACAAAGTCAAGAAATCAAGACCATCCTGGTTAACACGGTGAAACCCCGTCTCTACTAAAAATACAAAAAAATGAGCCGGGCGAGGTGGCGGGCGCCTGTAGTCCCAGCTACTCGGGAGGCTGAGGCAGGAGAATGGCATGAACCCAGGAGGAGGAGCTTGCAGTGAGCTGAGATTGTGCCACTGTGCTCCAGCCTGGGCAAGAGAGTGAGACTCTGCCTCAAAAAACAACAACAACAACAACAACAACCAAAAAAAACGAGAAAAAGGAAGCTTGACAACTCTGCCTGTCAGGGCCCGGCGGTCAGAGATGGTTCCGTGGGCAGAGGCACTCAGGGGCGCAAGGTGGTCGGTCTTAGAAAGATGCTTAGCAGTGAGCAAGAGTAGACCCCGGAGGGGAAGCAGGAAGGCCAGGCCGGAGCACACACAGCCTGGCTGGACGGCTTCAGAGCTAGTCCGGGGGCCCCGGGAGGGGCTGGGTGGCCGGAAAGGGAGGAAAGGAGAGAGGCAGGACTCGCCCCAGGATGCGAGGCTCACCCGAGCACCACGTTGGCGTAGAGTTCCCGCGCCGTCCTGGTCTCACGCTTCCTGGAGATCTCCGCGTCGTACCAGAAGCCCCGCTCCTTGGGGTTGTCGGGGTTGTAGTTGAGCATGACCACCTGGCCCACCTCCAGGTCCTGCCACTTGATGATGGTGCGGGCGCGAGCTCGGACGTCCCTGGAGTTCATCTGGACCACGCCGTTCTCCGGGTAGCTGGGAGGAAAGCCCCGGCCTTAGACCCCGTGGTAAGACCAAACCTCGTTCCCTCCATGGGAAACAAGCCGAAGTGGGGCCGGCCCCTCCCGACAGTGTGCAGAGGTCCCCCCGCGCAACAGTGTGCAGCGGTCCCTCCCGACAGTGTGCAGAGGCCCCCCTCCCCACAGTGTGCAGCGGCCCCTCCCGACAGTGTGCAGAGGCCCCCCACCCGACATTGTGCAGCAGCCCCTCCCGACAGGCTTATTTACTGGTGTTGAGAACACGCAGGTATATTAAGGTACATTCCAGGTACAGAATTATTATGTGTTGCCCCTGTCCCCTGCAAAAAGAGATGTTCAAACTCTGATCCCCAGTACCCACAAATAGTTCTGTTTTTGGAAATAGGGTCTTTGTAGGTAGAACCTTTGCAGATGAAATCTTATTAAGATGAGATCGGCCGGGCGCGGTGGCTCAAGCCTGTAATCCTAGCACTTTGGGAGGCCGAGACACTGCCCCAGCTCCTCCGAGTACCGGGATTACAGGCGCACGCCACCACGCCTGGCTAATTTGTATTTTTAGTAAGATGGGGTTTCTCCTATGTTGGCTGGTCTCGACACTCCCGACCTCAGTTATCTGGCCCGCTATCACTCCCCACAAGTTGCTGGATACAGCGTGAGCCACTGCGCCTGGCACCCCGCTATATTTTTGTAATTTTTAGTAGAGACAGGGTTCACCCGTGTTGTTCAAAGCTGTCTTGAACTCCTGACCTCCGGGTGATCCGCCGCGCTTGCCCCCTCCAAAGTGCCTGGGATTACAGGCTTGGACCCACCTGCGCCCCGGGCCTCTCCTCTTGTTCTAAAAGACACCAGTCCTGTTGGATTGGGGCCACCCTACTGCAGTGTTGATCTCATCTTTTTTTTTTTTTTTTTTTTTTTTTTGGAGACGAGTCTCCACTTCTGTCGCCAGGCTGAAGTGCAGTGGACGGATCTCAGACCACTGGCAAGCTCCGCTCCCGGTTATGCCATTCCCTGCTCAGTCCTCCCCGAGTAGCTGGACACAGGCGCCGCCACCTCGCCCGGCTATTTTTGTTTTTTATAGTAAGAGACGGGTTTCACTGTGTTAGCCAGGATGTCCTCCGATCTTCCTCGACTCGTGATCCACCTC